TCAGCAACCTTAAGGCTTGAGGATGAATTTCGAACTCTCCAATGGGTGCTTCAATCTTTTCTTGCTGAGGTCCCCTCTGAGACAGAGTCAAGCTCACACATTCCTGGCTTGCAACCCGCTTGATGCTGAGGATGTTCCTTGGCACGCTCATAAGCATATTAAGCCGTTGCGTTGCCTCTTCAGGTACATGCTTCGTTCCGGTGTGTATATATATATATGTAGAGAGAGAGATAGCTGACATGTTCACGCTTCACAGGTTCATGCCAGTGCCGGAATGACTGGTTTTCTGCAGGGGATGTAAAAGCACAAAAAGTGTAGTTTGCTCTGTCAGTGACAAAGTGACCAAAATGGATATCGCCCTTTTTGCCGCATTCATTATTGTTTTGGGTTTGCAAGCAGAAAGCAAATCTTCCTTCGTGCTTCCATGATCTTGTCGTGTGCAAGCTGCAAGATCTTTCCTCAAAGGCTTTGTGCACACATGAGTCCCCATCGCATGAAGTGTTACAAGTCTGGCAAGGACGTTGTGCTGTGGGTGAACTGCAGTGTTGGTGCTCATCTGGCAACTTGCAAGTCTGGTACAATTCAGATCGAAGAGCCAGAAAAGTGAAACATTAACGCATGTCAATGTTGTTTGTTGCACCTGGACCTGCAGACAGCCACGAATAAACATGTGTGAAGAACAAAAGGCCTGCGAACACTGGGAGCAGTGAGCACTGTACAAGCAATGCTCGTGACACGATCAGCCACATCAATTTCATCGTGTTGGTGTGGGTGTCCGACTGTATGTCAACTTCGTTTCTTTCCTTTCTGAAACCAGTATCTATCCTTCAATTGATGCCCAAATAGACTCATCGCGCAGCTTCAAATGCAAACAATCAGCATACAAGGAGGTGCCTTCTTTGCTTAGCTGACGCACTGGAAACTTTCCTTTGCGGGCTGAACTCAGTTTACATAAACTTGTCCAGCGCAACTTGTGTCGCGTTCTTTGTCACTTTCAATGTAGTGTGGGTGTGAAAGCATCAAAGAACACGAGAAGTGCATAGACTATACCACGGTGGCAGTTCAAGAAGAATTGACCTCCACCTGGAGATGCCTGCCAAAATAGTATCGCATCGACTAACCCTAAATGTCAGTGTTGGTCGCCTCTCTAATCCCACTTTAGTCACTTTAGCTGTAGCTACCAAAGTTCTTGCCCAAACTCACAGGGCTGAGCATGCCACAATCGACGTGGTTCCCCTAGCCCTCTGTCGCGCGAACAACAAATATCACTGGGGAACAAAATTAAACCAGCATAGACCCAGATAGCTAGGCAGCATCCCACGACCTGTTGACATGCGACTGGCTGGAACAAGAATGTACACAGCCTGCACGCACAGCCAGCTTACGGCGCCTCCACAGCGCGCGCAACCAGCTGACACCAGCACCGGTGCGCTTTGCCAGCTGACACGGGGGCGGCACCAGCACCCGACAAGCACCGCCGCCCGTCTTATACGCGCGCTCAGCCACCAGCACCCAGGACCACAACACCCGCACCAGCACTGACACCCCTTCGAAAGCCCGCGCAGCCAGCTCATTCTTATTAAGTTTGCAGTAAGAACCCCATAGCTATCCCTAGTGTGCTCTTGCGCGTATAAGTTTATGCGCACAAAAGTTTGCGCGCAAACAGCAAAGCCCGTAAGTGTCATTGGCCCAAGGCCAAGCAGTATCCAGCGCCACTATTGCCTTTGTAGCAGTAGCACGCTTGAAGCAACGATCTGTAGAACAATAGGGCCGTATGATCTTGCGCGTATAAGTTTATGCGCACAAAAGAGTGCGCACAAACGGCAAAGCCCGTAGGCTTCACTCGCCCAAGGCCAAGCAGTATCCAGCACGACTATTTTGTGTGTAGCAGGCTGAAACATGCTGTCGGTTGAGAGCCTGACGTTGCGCATAGAACAGTGTACGTACAAAAGTATGCGCGCAAACAGTACAGCCCTTGACAGCACCAGCCAGCACCGGCACCAGCAACCTGTCTCCACCACGCGCAGCCCGCTCACAGCACCATCACCGGCGCAGGCACCCGGCCAGCACCCTCGCCCGGCACCACGTGCACAGCCAGCTCACAGCACCAGCACCAGCAGCACCAGCACCGGCACCCGGCACCCAGCACCAGCACCGCCAGCACCGGCACCCTGCACCCAGCACCAGCACCCGCACCAGCAACCACCAGCACCTGCACCCGGCACCCAGCACCACCACCAGGCACCAGCACCGGCACCAGCACCCAGCGCCAGCACCAGCACCGACACCCAGCACCAGCACCAGCAACCTGTCTCGAAAGCGCGCAGGCAACTCATTGTTATTTGAAGTAAGAACCCCATAGCTTCGCTATCTGGGGAAAAACAACTTGTTTCATGCGTGATGATAATGTATCGTTCCGTCTTGTTGAAAAAGGTAACACTTCTTTCCTGCTGGAACTTGAGAGGTCACTGTGACAAGCCCTCTTGCTGTGTTTTTAACTGAGGTGTCGATCCCGGAGTATGACATTGACCCGGTTCTTTGTTGCCAGTGACTTATGCAATAATGAGGCTTCAAAGGTGTTGGTCATTTGATAACAAACTTACCCACGGGCATTGAACATGGCGCGACAATGTGCACGAAACCTTTCCCAACGGTTCTTGCTCTATGAACGGTGAAAGACTTTCAAAGAAGCAGACTTTGCCTCTGCTTTAGCAAGATCATCAGTCACTTGGTTACCTTGGGTGAGATGGACTGAAATGTATCCTTGCCAGAGGCAACAACTTTGACAACAGAAACTTGGCCTTCAAAAAGCCAGGCTGGCCTACCCACTTGTGTCCATAAGTACAAATGGATAGAAAGTTGTTTTCTTGGAGAACAAAAAATGCCCTGTACTTCACACCCACCTTGTGTGTGTGTGTACACCTTGGAATCAGAGGTTGTAATGCAGGAGGCAGTAACCACTCTTGATGTTTGAGCTTTGAGACTTACGACCTTTGACTTTGGAGCTTTGGAGTCTTTAACATATTGAACTCGCAAATTTCAATTGTGCCCCCTTACATATGTTACTCAGGTTTTTTTCACTCAGGCCTTTGGGGTGCATTCACATCGTACGTACGCCTTTCCTGAGTGAGTGTTATTTTACAACATTAGCTTGTCTGATCAACCACACTGCGACAGCAGTTGGACTTCAGTGCTTGCACCTGTGGTTTTTATCCTCGGTGTGCCTGGGCTCCTGCTACCTACTTTCTTGACAAGTGAAGGATGCCGTACCCCTGTGCATGCCCTCAAGCGCAATCGTATCTTTGAAACAACATTGAGCACTGTAATCTAAGTTGGGTTTAAACTTGTGATTTGTTTCCTGAAACCTGTGAGCCAGTGTGAGAGCCTGGTATCCTTCCGCCGTGTGGATTGATTGGAAATCGCGCCTTCGGCGAGCGCCGCCTGTTTCGGATGTCATTCCGCCATTTCTAGAAACCTCGTCAAAGCTCTCCTTGACTGGAGGTACAAGTAGTGAAGTAAGTAGTGCAAAGGTGCTTCTGATGTTCAAGACTCTGAACCATGCAGTGGTTTACCAGTGTTCCAAGCGCGGACAACTCTTCTGAAAATGTTCCTCCAAGTCTCCTCGGCAAACTTCCCCAGCACCTGAGATACAACTGCAAAAAAACAGGCTGGGGCACTGGGGCACAGGGGAACTTTTTGACTTTTACTCCACTTGCCCGCGGGGGGTGGAACAAAAGGAACAAGAACAACGAAAGCTACAGGGGGTTAGCATGTGGACAACCAGGAACCTAAAAACAACCCACTGTCACCAGACCCACAAGAATGACTCCAAAAAGAAAAGAACAACTCAAGAGAGAAGAGACAATATATCGATAACATTACAGTGTATATATAATATACTATACGATATAAGAGGGGGCTCACAAGCTTTGCAAAGAATACGAAAGAGCTCCAGGTCAAAGCACACATGAGGAAAGCAGTTGTGAAATGGCTGCGAGACTCAGAGGAAATACCAAAGCTGCAGCAGCGATAACTCCTGCTTGAATCAAAGGTGCCTCGCAGAGAAAAATGATGGAACATGTTGACTTTGCGGAGTCATCATAAGATTCTGGCGCAAATGTGGGCGATTATGGTTTCATGGATGAGGAGGAAAGGAAATGCAGGAGAAGGAATGAGGCAATGGAAAATGCAGGAAATGCAGAAGAAAAGAAGAACGAAGAAGTGCTGAAGTTGAAGCAAGGTAAAACGTAGATGAAGGTATGGGTGAAAAAAGGTGAAAGAGATTGAGGAGACTTTGAGAGAAGAGGGATGGAAAAAGAGAAGTGGCCAGGAATGCACGACAAGGAGGACACAGTTTTACAGGAAGCAGAGGCGAGAGCCTTTGAAAGCAGTAGAGGGCAAAGGGGTTGTTGAAGAAGTGCAAACAACCATATGCGAAACTAAAGAAAACAAAATGTTTCAGATGATGAAAATGGAAGGACTGAAGACGCAACAAACGGTCAAGAGTCAGGAGGAAATGAAAAGTGCAACAGTGTGGACTGTGGAGCAGCTGAGAAAGAAACACAAAGATTGAGACACAAATATTTGCGTAACCTATTGATGATGCCAGGTGACAATTTGTGACAATGAATACATACAAAAATAATGTCTCCTCATGCATCAACGACTCCCCGACCTCCCCGACTGGACCGTGACCAATGCAGTTTGCCTGTTTAAAATAAGAAAAAGTCACAATACAATACTTGTGGGAAATTCATTTTGATGGAGACAAATGCTTGGAATCAAAGTGATGTAGCTGAGCTGCATCAGAGCCAGCTTCTTCTACCACATGGGACGCGGACGGTTCAGCTTCTGTGTTGGAAGTTCAAATCTGTCAGTCAAATGCTCACACTCAAAGCATGGTCTTGAGTCATGGTCCGAAACACTTGAGGCAAAATGCTGCAAAGAACCCAGTGTCAAAATTCATGCCACCCCTGCAATTCCAGAACTTAGCTTCTGACAGCTTTACACTGCTCATTGACGGCCTACCGTTCCCAGAACAAGCACCCAAACACCCCATCGTTGCATTCTGCCCTGCAGGCCTTCATGGCCATATCAGGAAGGCTTGCCACACTTGCCACCTTTCAAAGGCAAATGAAAAAAATCGTAGTTTCTTGTTACTAGTGGCGATTGCCTCCAACCTACTTGCGATGGCCTCCACCCAATAGCATCCTTGTTACTAATCCAAGTGATAAAATACCCATGCCTCAGAAAACAAATGGTTGAGTTGTGCTCAGCAGGGAACAAGAAGCTACTAGGTGGAGGCCGTCACTATTAGGTTGGAGGCCATTACTACTGGTAGCTAGAAGCTACTAGGTTGGAGGCCATCGCTACTAGGAACAAGAAGCTTCTGGGTGGCGCAAGGTCCTCAAATGAAATGAGTGTCCACGTTCCGCACTACGCCGGTCAGCACTTTTGACGGCACAGCGCCAGGGTAAATAGATGGCACCGTAGTGGCCTATATTGACCCCGTGCGACAGCCGTACCATGGTTGAGTCATGACATGTCTACTTCATGAACCTGCTTCTCCGCAAGCCTTGAGCCACAGGCACGCTCGAGCGAAATAGCGTGTCGCCGCGTGGGACTGCGAGGGTTTTGTTCGTCTTGCCCGTAAGACGGGCATCTTTGTTGTTCCTCTCGAGCCATACTACTTGATAGCCTACCTGCTTGGCATCCCCTGGGCGAGCAATGAACGCTGCGCCGTCCTTTGACAGTGTGGGGCATTCCCTCGAAGGCATCTGGTTGGGGCCAGCTTCTTCCAGTACGCCAAGAGGGGTGACCACCAGTCATGCCCCGTGAAGGAGTACCTGTCCATGGACTCTTCTTGATCTGGAAGGCTGAGACGACCTTGGTCTGCAAGGCCATCATCTCGAGGGTCTGAGAAGTTGTCTTCAACGGACAAGTATGCTGAAAATCATCATGGCGGGCACTGCACCCCACCTGGAAGCGGGCCACTCCCTCCGAAGAGTGCGAAATTGAGAATTCCTGTTCCAATTCACCCTCGGCCACTGCCTGCCAGAGAGCTGGCTATATCCGCTTCTGGTCCACGTGTGGGGGATGCATTGCATAATGCGCTGGGCCCAATGTCTGAGTAGATTGGCCTCCAGGCGCCGTTGGGTAGTTGGTTCCAGCTCCTTGATGCGTCCAGGTTTCCAGCAACGCCATTTGTCCACCAGGATGACAGCCAGCGTTGCCGATCTTCGTCCCCCCAACAACCCTCGCGGGCATTGTACATGTCCGTGGACCGACCCATGCGCGCCAGTTGCGTCAGCAGAAGGTGGTCGAGGTCAGTAGTGACAGCGCGTCCTCCACGACTGATTCAAAGAAAGGAGTGGGCATCATGCCCACCGCCAGTCCATCGTATGGTGAAGGAGCCGCAGAGGAAGGACCGCCTCCGCCTCAACGCTTTTGGGCTTCAGGAGCAAGGCCACAAGAGTCTCGCCATCTTGTTGGGCCGGAGTGATGCCCAAAAAGTGTAAAGTGGCCGTGCTTGTAGGTAGTAGGGCGTCGGCAGGATGGAGGAGGCCAGGTCTGCAGGCTCTAGGGTGAAGGCCGTCCAGGCTAGGGTATAAGGAGATGGCTGGCGGTCAGTCACACGCATGTGCCGTGAAAAAGTGCAGGGACAAGAGAGACGTGGTCTCCACACCTCAGAACAAAAACGCGAAGGCAATCATGAAAAGTCCCGAAACAACCAACACCCAGAACAAGGTCAAGTCATCCGAGACCTAAGAAAAACAGAAATTACACCAGCATAGACCCAGATAGCTAGGCAGAATCCCACGACCTGCACAGCCTGCACAGCCAGCTCGTGGCACCTCCCCGTCTTAAACGCGCGCTCAGCCAGCTGCCAGCTCACAGCACCAGCACCCACGACCAGCACCGACACCCTTTCGAAGGCGCAGCCAGCTCATTCTTATTTGCAGCAACAACCAACCCCATAGCTATCCCTATTTGGGGAATAACAACGTATGATCTTGCGCGTATATGTTTATGCACGCAAAAGTACGCGCGCAAACAGCAAAGCCCGTAAGTGTCATGAATTGGCCCAAGGCCAAGCAGTATCCAGCGCCACTATTGACTTTCTAGCATGCTTGAAGCAACGATCTGCAGGACGATAAGGCCGTATGACCTTGCGCGTAAAAGTGTACGCGCACAAAAGTATGCGCACAAACGGCAAGGCCAAGCAGTATCCAGCACGACTCTTGTGTAGCATGCTGAAACACGCTGGAACAATGGCCGGTTGAGAGCCTGACGTTGCGCATAGAACACATTATACGTAGAAAAGTATGCGCGCAAACAGTACAGCCCTTGACACAGCTGCCAGCCAAAACAGAACTGTAAATACCCCACAGCGCTAATAGACAAAGAACGCTCAAGCGACAACACCGTATGATGTTGCGTGCATAAGTTCACGCGGCCCATGACTGCTGGCACTTCATTGTCAGAAGCGGCGCTTGGCCGCCCTTCACTGCTGCAAGCGGCGGTTTGTTACCCTTCACTGTCAGAAGCGGCGGTTGTTATCACTTCACTGTCAGAAGCGGGCACCAGCGCCGGCCCCCGGCACCAGCACCAGCAACCTGTCTCCACCACGTGCACAGCCAGCTCACAGCACCCGGCACCAGCACCAACCTGTCTCCACCACGTGCACAGCCAGCTCGATCACAGCACCAGCACCGGCAACCGGCACCAACACCAGCGCCAGCAACCAGTCCCCACCACCAGCACCGGCACCCGGACCAGCGCCAGCAACCTGTCTCCACCACGCGCACACCAGCACCGGCACCCGGCACCAGCACCAGCACCAGCAACCTGTCTCCACCACGTGCACAGCCAGCTCACAGCACCAGCACCGGCACCAGCACCAGCAACCTGTCTCCATCACATACACAGCCCACTGGCACCCAGCACCAGCAACCTGTCTCGAAAGCGCGCACGGGCAACTCATTGTTATTTGAAGTAAGAACCCCATAGCATCGCTATCTGGGGAATGACACCGAACAAGACCAGAGCAAGCGCGCCAACTTTTCCAGCCGTCATAGAAGGTCACGTCGCCACGTTCTGGCAGAGGGGTCCCCTCCGACCCCTTTCAGAGCCCACGGCGTCTGCCAGGGAGGTCCTAGCCCGACAAGCGGGGGGCCGACCCAATAGATCCCACGACGGTGCTGGGGTCCGGTCGCATGCCATTCCAAACCTGCCAAGTCCTGGTCCGTGTAGTACTCGCCGTCCAATTCCCGGCCATTGTCCGTGAGGGGCAGGACCACTGAGCCCTGCCATCCTTGTACTCCATATGCCAGGTCTCTTCCCCCACTGTGATCTGGGCGCCCCGGACTTGCGAGGAGACTGGTAGCGGCTCCGCCGTGGGTTGGCAGATCGTGCACTTCTTCCATTGCCGGGACCTGGCTGTGTTGCAATCGGGCAGCACAGCTCATAGTCAATGGCCCCCAGGTCCGTCTAGTCCAGGAACTCCATGCCACGGTTGCCCTTCCGCTGGTTGGTCACGGAGATGTGAGGCTGGTGCAGCAATTCTGCTGGGCCCGGCTCTTGGCCACGAAGGGCTCCAAGACGCGTTCCACCAAGGGGTGAGTGATGTCCCCAGTCTTGAAGTCGCCCAAGAGGGAAACCAGCTCGGAAAAAAACACACAAAGGCATTGAGCGGCACGATGGTGTTGGAGCATGGAATCGCGCCACTGGCCCTAGCCTTCCCCGTCCACCGGCGCCCCCTTGGAAGTTCCAGAGCCTCCGCAGGGGTGCCCATCTCGGGGAGGGGAGTCCACCGGGTCAAGATCCATGGCCACTGGCGCCTCAGCCGCAGGTGTAGAGGAGGTAGAAGTCGGAGCAGCTAGTGGACCCCCTTTGGGTGTTTCAGACCCAGGCGTCTGCACCCGCAGGGGAGTCAGCTGAGCCATCGCGGCATCCGTCTCCTGCATCTTGGCCTGCAGGGCTTCCTGGGTGAGAAGCTCACACATTACAAAATGATGTTCATCCTGGTACCTGAGCTGGCATGGTCAGTCGAAGAACCAGCGAGGGCGTCAGCAGTCCACAGTGATTGAAGTCACTGTTGGAGCGGCTACAACGGAGTCAAAGAAAGCTCACGGGAGTGCAGAGTTCAAATCTTGAGTGCCCAGGCTTGAGCCAAAATGCCCGAGGCGTTTTGGCTAATGAAATGTGTTCATGAAACATAACCTGCTTTGCGCAGGCTCCAAGCACGCACTAAATATAATTGTATAATCCTCTATATACAGTGGATTGTTCTACAAAACAATGCCACCAAGCAAGCGATTTGACCCCACCTGATCTGCAGCAAAGGTGCAGCTCACCTGGTTGTGACATGACATGACCCAAGTACCAAACCCGCAAAAGAACTTAGAGCCTGAGAAGGTAGCCTCGGCGGATTGCTTCAATTGTGTTCTTGTTTGCCTTTGTTTCTGCTCCAAGAGCATCTATGTCAGCTTCCGCATGCCTAAGCTCTGCCCTTTTTGCTCCTGTTATATTGTTATATACTGCCGGTCGCAATCTGAACAACACAACGAGTGTGTTTTGTGCTTTGAAACAAGTGAAGGATTTGCAACCTTCACACGAAACAATGAGGAGATGAAGGCAGGGCAGAACCTTGACGACGCCAAAGGCTTTGGAAGCAGCCTAAGTGGCCTGGTGAGCAAGAGTCACCAAAATGTCCTGCCCTGCCTTGAAACATATTCGATCTATTGAGGGGCTTCCACTTCTGTATCTGCAGCTCTGTCAAAGACACCCTGCACTTGCACACTGAAGAAGCTCCCAGTGGCTTTGATACTTCTGCTGGCCCATGCTACAGCTTCGCTTTGCCAAACCTCTTTCGAAGAGCTCGCGCAAAGAAACACCCCAGAACAATCATTCCTGCTGACTGCCACGCATCAGGGTTCGTTTTGGAAAGGCCAGCTCTGGGCAGTAGAAAAGTTGCCAGCGGAGCACGCAGCGGTGCCAAGCCAGCGTAGGCACCTCTGACGTTCTGTCCTCTGAGGCCTCTAGCTGCACCATTGACCAGGTAACCTGGTTGTCGCTTCAACTGCTTCCTGGAAAGTGCAGCTGCCCCTGAAGGTTTGCCAGTAGGCTCTGCAGTCCCGGGCAGCTGCTTCCGCATCAATCGGTCGATGGCCATAATGAAGCCAGTTGAAAGGACTAAATTGGCCGCCAGGCTGAGAACTGCAACGGCCACGGCAGGTCCTTGCATGCCAAGTCCCAAGGAGATCGCAATGACACCTGCGCCAACTTCGCCTCTCGGACACATTCCCAAGGAAAGAGCGAGCCTGGTGCGTAAGTCAGCTTCATCCCGGTAGCAAAACAAAAGCATCATTTTGCCAACGATCATCAGAATTGATACAACAAAGACATGCCAAGCTGTCTGTGCTGCAGTCAAATGTCCTTGGACCGAAAAAAGAGATGGCATGGACATTCCCACCAGAAGCATAAAGCAGGTAGAGACAAAACTTTTCACACTTTCCTCCCAGCTTTCATCAAGCACTTCACACCATGGGTCTTTGGGTCTGCAGATTCTCGTCATGCAACCAATGACGAAGGCCGGGAGCAGGACCTCTATGTGAACCCGTCCGCTCGTGTAAAAGCAAAGACCTTCACAAGCTGCGGTGATCAAGGCGGAGTACATCATCGTCCACCTCCATGAGCTCTGAAGCCGAATCTGATGAAGATTCTGCCATGCAAGCAACAAGCAAGTAGTGACAAAGACCGCATCGATTGAGAGCTCCCATTTGAAGCCCACCAAATACATCTTTAACGGTATCATCAGCAGGATTGTATCGAGGTCATCAAAGATTGCAAGGACTTGGGCTTTCTTGAACAACCACGTTTCTTTGAAGCCAGCAGCTTCCAGCATATTAAAGAGAATGCCCGCACTAGTTGGTGCTGCAAATCTGGCCATCAACAAAGCTGAGCCCCAGGCAAGGCCTGAGTTGGGCAAAGCAAAGTGCAACCAAAGGGCAACAAAAATCCAAGGTAGACCGGCTGCTGACATGGCAACAATGTAGTCCCGTGCATATGTCCCAAGCTTACTTCTCTCAATCACGAACTCATGGCCCACACCGACCATCAGGAACGACAAGGAAAACATTGTCAAGAGCCCAACCACTCGGCCATACATGGAATATTGAGTAACGCTCAGGTGGCCTGCGGCTGCCTGTGATATCATCAAGCCAACCAAAAGCATTCCTGTGTAGGTAAAGAGCTTTTGCTTCCCACTGGCACTTGAGCTCTCATCGGTCATTGCGGAAGAGGAGAGAGTCTTCTTTGAGAGTCTTCTTCTCCTTTTACAAACGCAAGCCTGGCCTGTCCGAAGCCTTTGGTGACACGGTCGAGCCCAATGGCGGCGGGGGGGGGGTAGGCAGCTAGGTAGCTAGTAGAAGCTAGATAGCTGCTACCTTACTTGAGCTACTACACATTTGACGCAGGATAGCTCACGCTAATGATTTGGTTCCTAGATTTTTAGGGAAACTTAAGTAACAAGAAGCTACTACGGGCTCCTGGCCTTACTACTAGGAGCAAGGACGCTACTAGGGGCTCCTGGCCATACTACTAGTAACAAGAAGCTACTAGTTACTAGTATTGTTACTTAAGTAGTGCTCGTCACTTCTTCACACCAATGTGCTTAACGCTTGACAACTGCTGCTCGGAAAGCACCGTCAAGCTTCAAGGAAAACAAACAAAGCCGGCAACAGCCCAACACAAGCAAGAAAATAGAAACATCCAAAACAACAAAAAGCGGCGCCTCGCCCATTGAACACCATGGCAGCCCATGCACGATCAGCTCACTAGCTGTTGAATTGTACGTGACATGTTGTGTAAGTTCTCAGTTGCAACATGTCATTTGAGTAGTATAATCTGGAGTGGCTCAGACGGTGACTGTTTTGAGCATACTTTTCTTGATTTTCTAGTTGTCGCTAGATTTCACTTGCTCTCCCATGTCCATGGATCGTGAGGCTGTCTTCAACACTGCCACTTCAACGCATTCATTGCGTCATCAAACAGCTTCAATTGCCTCCTGACTAGACAAACTAGTTGTATGAAGTACATTCTGTGATAACTTGTCACACGCATTGGCACAACTCACAGCACCACTTTGGGTGTTTCCAACTACCAACATGGCAAGCGCTCAAGGGGCTTCGGTAGCCGATAGGCCTGCACTCCAAGGAGAGGGACAACACAGGTACTGCCACACTCTGCCTGTGCCTCAAACACCCGGCGAGCTTGTCCCACCTGCTTCCACCTCTGCAGGCACAACTGCCTTGTGCACACACGACCACCCCTCTGCTCAGGATCCAACACGGAACTGCCAGGCAAAGGTGGCTTTCCTGTGTTGACCACCGACCACCTAAGAATCTGCAGCCCACACAAAACAAATCTGATGACGACTCAGGTCAATGCTCTTCCGATGGCTCCCGGGGAAGCACTTGGAAGTCAAGAGTAGAAACCACGGACAATGCCAGTGAAAGCCTCGAGTTGAATTGTTGCTACCACTGGAGCTGCTACCACCTAAAAAGAAATTTGTGCTACAAGCTTCTTGGAGCTTGTGATTGAGTCAACTCCTTGGAGCCTCACGGCATCCAGTCCTTGTAGCTGAACAAACCAGACTTTCTAGAGCTCTACAGGTGCTCAAAATATCTGCAGGTGCAGCTCTCCTGAACAGCTTCGGCGGCTTTGTAAACTGCATCTAGCTCCTTCAGAAAATCAAAGCCCTGCAATTGCTACTGTGGCTGTGGCTTAAAGGGCAGCACTAAAAATCGTGTTTGTTTGCATTCACAATTGTCGTCCTCCCACTTCTCATCTAAGTGCGAGTTGCACCAATGGAACCTATAGTAGAACGAACAGGAAAGCAGGAAAGCATCCCAGACTATGGACAACCTCCCAACATAGCGGACATGGTCCAGCACACCTCCCACAATAAAGGCCCCAGCACATCCATTTTTGAAATGTGGCCATACCAACCAATAAAGCCAATCACCACCTCTGCAAGCAGAGAGTCACCAAGACTTGCCAGTCCTCACTAGCCTAATAGCAATGGCCTCCAACCTACTAACGATGGCCTCCAATGCTACCGAACAAGGTTGACCAACAGTACAAGGATGACCACAGGGCTCACCTTGTTCTCATCTTCCATGACACCAACCCGCACCTTGCCAAGCCCACTGACAGGCCACAAGCACCCGGATGCTGGCTTTTCACAACAATAATTGCAAAATTGAAAGGAAATGTTGCTTTGTTTTCATGTTCCAAAAAAGAACGATCAATCCTGACATTTCATGAAGGAATTCTTCATGAAGCCAAGGGCTGTCAATCAGCACTGGCCTTTGGCAGGTTCTTCGGTGGGAAGGACACACCGAGTACGCCGTCTGGAATGCGAAGCGGAGAGCCCAGAAGCACCTGGCGAGCACCAAGGCGTGTTCAGCAACCGAGTGTCAGAAGTGATGAGAAAATATTGTTAGCGTTCTGGCACGGCAAAACCCTGACCCAATACGCGTTCAATGACTGCAAGACAAAGACGCAGGTGGGACGTCCAAGCCCCTCTGATCAATCTCGTACTGGTGCTCATAGTACCTGCTGATTCAAAACCTCTTGGCCTGCAGTTGGCTCAAAGGAGCTGCTGCTGGGCAGGAACACGACAAAGGATTCTCCGCCCTTTTGGTATCTCAACGATCAAGCTGGACAGTTCAGCCACCAAATGAACATCTTGGAAAACACATGTGATGCACTTGTCAAGAAGACAAACTGGTGCTGATCCATCCTGGGGTCTGGCAGCTCTCACCAAAGGTCTTTAAAATTTGCTCGGTCGAGCGAAATGACGAGGGCATGCACTGAGCGACTGGTGACTCTGCGCAAGGGTTCTGGTGCACCTGGACCTAGAAGCTTCCTTGGGAATCCTTTCACTGGGAATCTTTGCACCTGTATTAACAACAAAAACTTTCTAGGTCTTTGAAGCTTGTAAGTAACTAGAAGCTTTCTAGTAACATCAAAGAGAGGATGGCGCAGCTTCCTAGGCAATGCTCGCTTCCTTTGCTTTTTCAGCTTCCTCCTTGGAGATCGGGAAACCAGTACTGGGCCTTAGTCAGTCGCTTGCTTGGATGGATTACAAGGGTCAGGAAAATGGAGCTGAGAAAGCTGCAGCTCAGGGGGTGTCTTCCGGAGTCTCCTCATTTTGCTGCATACGAAAACGTCTAATGGAAGGTGTTGTACGAATGGCCTGTTCTCAAATGGGAACTCACCGGCTTCTTGTCCATCAAGTCTTTGCCCGGATAGCCAGCGCCTTGCAAAGGTTCCAAACGCAAAAACTGTTTTGCTTTATATACATTATTTGTGCACGTATTTGCTGCATTGTTTTTCGTTCATTGAGGCAGTTCCAGCCTCAAGTCTGCTTCTGTCTTGGGAGTGATCAAAAGACCACGATTGGAAAGCTTGGCACCTGACGACCAAAAAAAAGTGTGTCACTTGAACTGAAACCTCTGAGCGCTGAGTTTGAGGGGCTGGCCCAACTGCGACGAAACAGGCGCGACAGGTTGGGCCTCACTGTGGTTTCCAGGTTTGTACCGAAGAAACCAAGTAAACTCTATTGTCCAACCTAAAAACTTGGGGTCGACTGAAGGCAACTCAAAACACAAAAGTCACAAAAGGCGCCAGGCACTTTCCAGACCCTGTTTCTCGAGGCGGGCAGCTGTCTCCTGTGATTGCAGACTGAGCTCAGAAAGCACATGTTGGTTCCAGTCTAGTGGAGACATCAAACAAAAATATTCAGCACAAGTTTGGAAAAGAACGAGCAAGGCAAGCCCCATAGATTGTTGTCCTTCATAACTAACGTGTTATTTGCGGGTGTTTTGATGCGTTCTTGGAAGCTTGGTTAGAGGTGTATGTATATATATACATATACATATACATCTACATTTTTTTTTTGTCCGGCTCTTTTCGATCCGCTGAAGTCTGGGTTGGTCTCATGCCAACATCTGTCTGATGTCTCCAAAAGCGGAGGTTCGGCAAGGGCTCCGCAACTTCTGCGTCAGCTGCACCTCATTGTTGCGAATGCGAGCCCTCTCGTGGCACTTCTCGCACTCTGTCTGCGCTCCGGTTCTTGTCATCCGATGCGAATGATGTCCGTGCCATAGGTGAGCTTCAAGTGGGCCGTGGTGGCAGACTTCACCGAGGAATCGGTTGAAAGATTCCTCTCCAGCTCTGGCAAGCACGTAGCCACGACACAAGGTGCAGCGTAAGTACGCTTTTTCAAGGCGTAGGTGGTGAGTTCCTGCCCTTGGTTCACCTTGGCTCTCGATGAGGTCATGGATGATCTCGAAGCGGGTCTTCTTGCCCTTTTTGACCGGCCCTGCATGAGTGCAAGGTGAGGTCAGGCCTTCTCGGAGCTCTTTGAGGAGGGATTTGGTGTGATAACGTTGACGACACAGGGTGCATTGGACTCCTGACCTGAAAGTGGTCCACTGGTGGCCCGTGGCACTTGGCTCCTGGAGGAAGCTGCTGAGAAGGGCACGTTTCTGCTGCACTAATGGTACTTTGGCCGGCATCTCGGAGGAGGATTTGTGGTGCAAGAAGTGCTCCTTGTTGCGAAGGAGAATGTCCATTCTCGTTCCAGCCACACTCAAGACATCCCGAGTGTCCTCGTCAATGTGACGTTGCAAATCCAGAATTTCGTCAGGGCGGGCCAAAATGGCAGCTTGGTCCGCCTTGGACTGGGTGTCTTTTTGAAAGGCCCGTCGATTGGGATTGGAGTCCATCTCCTTTCGATCGAAAAGAAGCAGTCGAACTTGGTCGAAGTCTTCATGCTCCAAGCCCTGGCTGATGTCCGGAAAGCGCTCATGTGCTGCCATGAAGGCACAGTGCTTCCAAATGCTGTGCTGAAAGACCACCACGTGGACCTTGTCATGGATGTGCAGGGAAAGGTGTTTCAGCCCATAGAACAGGGCTCGCAGCCTGGTGGCCTGGCCCGGGCATATGCCCGTCAGAGAGGCTACACGCTCTTTGGTGAAGACTTTGTGAATGCAGATGGCGAAGACGAACCTGCGGTGTCGAGGATCTTTGGACGTGGGTGCCACTGCTAAGGAGACAGCATGTCCTGCAGGGAGGTTGCAAGCCTCCAAGCCATCCCAAAGTCCTTCTCCGGTGAAAGTGGCCATGCCGCCATCAGGGATGTAGAAGATGGACTGGACCATTCCACGGTTCCACAGTTCGGGCTCTGAGTTGGCCTGGATGCGTTCCTGCCATTGCTCCGGAAGCGGCTGGACTCGTCCTTCCCAGAAACTGCATTCCCAAAGCAGGTGAATGAAAGTGAGTTCCACGCCACAGAGGGGGCACTGACCATGTTGTCCCTGCAAGGTGCCTTGATGCAATGCTCGGATGCCAGTGGCGATCTTGTCAGAAGTGATCTTCTGCAATGTTTTGCTGACAGTCCAATCTAGCTTCATTTCGAGGTCGTGGCAACCCGTGTGCCTTGTCAGGCGTAGGAGGCGTTGCCACTGAAATTCTTCAAGGAGCTTGTGCTGGATCTCTGGCCAGAGGGCTTCCAAGCTGATGTGGCAGTCCGGAATGCCCCCATAGCCTTTCCTCGTCCATTGCTTGCCATTGGAGATGTCGAAGTCATAGTCCAAAAGGTAGGCCTGGAGGGCTTGCATTGGGCCTGTGACGACCTGCCATCGGTATTTGGCTTTCTGAAGTTGCTCCAAAGCCCCTTTCCAACTGACCCAGAAAAGGTGTTGAGCTCCGGCATCAAAGGAGTGCAGGACTCGCCACACCGTGTGGATGTGCTGAAAGATGATGGAGTCCCCAGGATCGCTTTTGTCAGGATGCATGTCAAACACCACATCCACTGATCCTGTGCGCTGCAAGCCCAGGCCTCTGGCCGCCATCACTCGAAGTTGCTGTCGTCTCTGCGGTGCCATCCCGTTCGCCTGCGCTCCCCAGCTCATCACTGGATGAATGGCCCCTCGATGAAGACGATATTTGATGGAGGTGCGCAACTTGAGGCGCACCATGATGCCAGCACGGCCCTTGCCTTTGAGGAAGCGCTTCTTGATTTGAGTGATGCGTCTGCGCTTGGAGTTGGTTGCATCGATGCCCAAATCCCGTAGGACATTGTGATGCTGTGGATCATCAGCCTGAAGAAGGGCATCAAGGGCCTTGCCTGCTTCCTTGCTGCTGGTGAGAAAGCCTGTCTTGTCAGTGTTGAGCTGCAGTCCTGCGGCTTGCAAATGTCGTTGCAAAGTGCGAAAGGCTAAGACGGCTTCCCTGGCAGCATACTCAGGATCGGTGCCTTTGATGTCATAGGAGACGTCGTCGACCCAGGTTTGCAGTTCTTGGACCAAGGACCGCAGAGGCTAAGCTTGGCAATGGCAGGAGCCTGAGGGCAGCCCTGGAGAATGCCGTTCTGATAGTACTTGGGTTGCCGGGCAATGCCCTCTGCTTGAATGAGCCTGGGTCCTGTGTAGAGGTCCAGAGCCAGTTTGAGATGCAAAGGAGGGTATTGAAGGTCTCTGGCAGGCTCAATGAGATGGTCCAGCTGAACAGTGTCGTAGAAGCAAGTGAGATCAGCCAAACAGGTGACCGTGTGAATGCCATTGTGCTTGCCAATCTCGGCTTTGAGCATGCGACCGATGGCGATGGAGAGGCAGTCTTTGTGGGGTCTGGCGTGATCCCACGGCATGTCTTTGTCCAGACCCAGTTGCCACTTCTGCAGGTCGTGCTTGCGGTAGGAGTTCCACAGCCGGTAGAGGCACGAGGTCAGGGCGATGGGCCTCTCAATGCGCTCATTCTTCGGGATCATCACGATGTTGGTGTGTCGCATTTGAAGAGGTAACTCGGCCTCCTGTTCCATCTCCGTGAGGAGCTTGGCTAGTCGTTCCACCGCCGGGTAGGGAAGGTGGCGAAGGAAGTCATAGGAGATGCCATCTGGACCTGCTGCTTTGTTGGGAAGCTTCCTCATGATCTTCTGCAAGAGACTGGAGTCAATCCCTTTCTGCTGTAGGGCCTGTGCTTGGGCTTCTCGCCGCAAATCCATGAGTCCTCTGACTTGAAGTGGTCCCTCAAGTGGCTTCCAGATGGCGCCCCATTGTTGTTCTCTGGCTTCAGTGCGAAGGGTAGGAGGGAGATTTTGGAAGGGCCTCTGCCGTGCGTGATCTTTCTGTCGCAGACTGCGAAACAGGCCTCGGAGGCCTTTGTCGTGAGCCTTCTCAAGCCATTCACGGAATTCATGATTGGTGGCACTAAGCATCTGCTGTTGTGCAAGGTCCTGCTCGTATTGGATGATTTGTTGTAGACTCACAGGTAGAGAAGGGCCCCCGAAGATCCACTGCAGAAGTTGTTCTTCCAAGTGTGATTGGTCCAACTCAGGGGAGGCATGTTGAGGAATCCTCCTGATCATGTCCTTGAGGTCCTGCAAGAGGCCAGGGTACCGCCCATGGGAGGCCAGATTTAATCTGATGCCCATCTTCTCCCAAAAGGCAGCGCTGCCTTTCTTCCACACTCTCGGTTTGGATGAGCTCGCCAGAGGGGCCGTGTAGAGCTTGATGTGAGAGCCTCGGCCTGTGACAGGTCTCTGCAGGTTCTGAGTGAGGTACTTCTCAGTCTGGGTGGCCCAGCGCGCCAGGTCAGAACCAAGTCCGGTGATGGTTTGGCCAAGAATCTTGAAAGGGCCATCATCTTCAGCAAAACTGGTCCAAAGTTGCTGCGGGTTGTAGTTCCGTGAGATGGGAGGAAATCTCTGCAGTTGTTGCACAGGTTGAGCAGCGTGTCCACAATCAAACTGGAGCGCGAGAGCACAGTGCGGCTTCCAGGGAACCTCCCAGTTCGCCTCCAAGCGGAGTGCCCCGGCAATGGAGGTCGAGGCGAGGACGAAGTCCAGATGGCTGCCCTGAAGAGTGGTGGGTCCTTGTGTGGCCAGAATCTGAGCACGGAACTTGCTCGGGATGTTCGTGGCAGCCAGGTCTTCAGGTGCAGTTTGCCAGTCGCCTCCGACGATGAAGGGGGCCTGAAGGTGGTCCAAGAACTGAAGAAGCTGACCCAAAATGTCGGCATTGAGTGGGGATTGAAGCGTTTCCCCCGTTTTGAAATAGAGCTGAATGAGATAGATCTCACAGCCCTCTCGTTGAAGAGCTAGAGCCGTCCACCCATTTCCTTGCTGAGTGTAGGTGTGGACGTGGTGCATGAGGTGTCTGGTGGCATGGATTGTGAGGAAACCCCCGGTGGATCCTCCTTGGCCTGTAGGCGCAGCTGCAACCCCGTGTGTCTTCCATCCTCTGCTAGTGAAGTATTGTTGCGCAGTCTCCATAGCCTTCTGCTGGAGGTGAGTTTCTTGGAAGAACATGATGGTGTCTCCCTGACCCCATATCCAGTCTTGCACCTTTTTGCCAAAGAAGGTGACATTGCTGAAAGAGAAGTGGAGTGTCTCGTGACAAATGCGAGCTTTCTTGGCTTCCTGGCCAGTTATCTCGAGGGCAGTGTCAGTGACCATCTCGTCTGTGGGAGCCAAGGTGAGCCAAACCTGAGAAATTTCAGTTTTCTGCTTGGAGGTGAGATGAGCAATGGGCACTGGATAGGCATTGTCATCTGCCATCCAATAAGCATTGTCGAGGGCCAAAATGGCTTGATAGTGTCCGTTCTCATGTGAGACTCCTTGATGGAGCACTAGGCCCACAACCTGGTAAGTGGCGTAGTGGACATTTTC